TGTCAATAATTCAGGCTTGTATTTTGCTATCACATCAGACTAAGTTACCTATATTTATGGTGAATAGGCTTGCTCTCAGAATGGAGTTTAAATAAGAGCATCGTAAGACCTGTGGGGAAATTCAACTATCAGTCTCAATACCTTATGCCATAAGTACAGCTCGTATTCAAGATCTACTAATAGTATCAAAACGGTTGGATTGTGAGTGGGTGAGTAGGCTAGCTTTATTGACTTCGGCCAGTGACAGTAGTTTCAGTTCTGGTGATGTTCATCGCAAAGCATAAAAGACAGAAGCAGTCTAACTATTAAAATGTATTGATGCCATCGAAAGACACTTACCTCGAATGTAGGAAGTGTCGTATAATGTAATGACAAATACGTGTTTGCTCCAATAACAATACTGTTTTGTAAGTGATTCTAAATAAGCCCTGCGGCCCAATGGTAATCACTCACGACTAAAAGCGAGTCGCTACTTGGTGCACAATACCTGGTTTCTGATTAGGTCGATCTATCGATGAGATGATCAGAGGCAGAAATCGCAGACCAGTCCCGGCGAGAAATCCTTTCGAGAGACAAGGCAAACATGTATCCACCATTAATGTCGACAGTGGTTTTCGAATTAAGCGATCTAGAGTGGCTAAATCTTCTGTTCAAGAACTTCTGAGTACCGAAAGCAACGTTGTAGACTGTACATGTTTACTTTAAAAACAGTTCGAATATAAAAATATGATGAGAAAGGCATGGCTTTCTTTAGTAATCATGTTTGGTCTTTGGCCGACCGGCACTCATGGAGCGTGGCGTAGCCATAATACAGCAAGATTATGAACTGAATTACAGCAGCCCAGGGTCGATTCCCGTTAGGGAGATTAATGAGAATACGTCAGACTCTAGATCTAACCAAAGGAATATAGTTTCGAGGGCTACTCACATCGAATATGGGCCACATTGACTATTGAATGCCAAATATTAGGTCACCTTTGGTAACTAAGGCTGGATCAAGTCCTTAATCAAGAACTAACGATAATCTTGACAATTATTCACATCCAATATTAGCACGGTTTTAATGGACTCGAAAGCCTGTTGGATCAGCAAGACAGCCACAAGATAGAGATCGGCAAATGAACTCTGGCGAAATCGACCTATAAACACATTATGACACACATGCCTTCGAAATAAAATGCTGGTGGACACTACCTTGTCCAACTGGAAAGCTCCCGTGAGGGGGCGCAACAATAGGAAGCCGCGGAGGCGGATGGCCGTAGTTACTGCGTTCTCTGAAAGCACAAGCCAGTGAGATTAACGGATGGAGGGAATACAAAGAATAAGCACATGAGCTCATTTAATGGACAGTGACATGCACAGCTAAAGCCAGACTAACTAACTGAAGCGTTGGATGATGCGAATGGGCGGTAAAGACAAGACTGAGTAAACGCATAGAAAGTGGTGAAGCCAAAGTCCGGGGATGGCGGATTAAGTACCAAATGTGTTTTTCCGTATATGCGTGCCAGGACAATCAAGTGGTAAGGGCCACACGCCGAAAGTTGGTTGAAAGGTAACAACGAGTGCCAGCGCAAGTTGGGAAAGAAAATTGCTATTACGTGAGCTGTTGGAGGCTCGGCGCGAGTCAAGGCCTGCCAAAATATCCAGACTAGAAAATAGGCCTGGAGACGTAGTCACGACAAAGAAGCTTGAACAAAATAAGCCTCAGCACTTGAGGCAGGCCAAACGAACCGGGGAAAGTGAATCGAATTAGAGCTATGCCTTCACTAAGTGATGAATAGACCAGGATAGAACCGAGTAATCATGATTGACTTCAGCGCCCCAATGAGTATAAGCGAAACGTACGGAAATGTATCAAGCTGACGGCACGTTGCATAAGAAAGACAAGACGGCAATAGAGGAAGAGACAGGATGGGCCGTGTTTCCCGAAGTCGCCCTGACCAAGTTTCGAAAACAATGTCAGGAAAGTAGAAAGCGAAAGGAGACCGCAGTCAGGATAGAGGCCACTTTTTGTTGTTCATACTTTGGATTGAAAAATTTAGCCGAGTTGGAAAAACCAAATTAGGCTGTTTGTGACTAAATTCCAACTAGTCAGACCGAATGATAAGGCACGTCGGAGTAAATTTGTCATAGTTACTCATACAAACTAATAGAAATAGGCCTCAGGAACAATTTCCTTTAGTGGAACACCTCGGGCGTAACACTTGTAGATACATTCGATCCGCTACCGATAAATTTAATGCTTGAGTGAAAAATGTGACACCTAGTCAATTATATATAAAAAGCCAGAAAATCCATAACTTGTGGTTACCTCCGAACGATTCGCGCTTATTGATGATTAAGTGGGCTCACATAAAGACACATCTCGAAGCCGATTGTGGCTCAGTCTTCGCAAGCTGCATTACCATCCAAAATAAGTCCGGCCAGTATAAATATTCACATTACGCGAGCAAGCACAGGTGTTTCCGCACACAACAAACCTGAACTAAAGCAATAAACAGATAATTATTTTAAGAACAAGCCCAGATCGAAAGGGCTACGAAAGTATAAATGGATCTCGATTAAGAGTATGAGTAACTTCAGATAGTGTAATGACTGGCATTTACCACAATAGAATGAGCATAAACGAATGACAATTAAAACTAGCCCAGCCCTGACTTTAAAATTGTCAGTGAATCTGACAACAACGAGGAGGCAATACGATTGAAGGTAGCAGTAGTGACAAACTCAAGGGTTTTATTGAAGTTGTTTGACCTTGTTTTCGCAACTTGGTCATATTGGTAGGAAGACTTAAAGGAGCGCACCTAGTCCGGAGTCCATAGTATGCATCGTCATTTCCAGAGTAGGACCGTGGACGTGTTACATTCCCAGACGTTTCGCCGGCATCGTCAGTGAGTCTTG